CTGTGGCAGCTGTATCTGCGGCTGCCCCTGTGGCAGCTGTATCTGAGGCGGTGCCTGTGGCAGCTGTATCTGCGGCTGCACCAGTGGCAGGTGTATCTGCGGCTGCCCCTGAAACAGCTGTATCTGCGGCTGCCCCTGAAACAGCTGTATCTGCGGCTGCCCCTGAAACAGCTGTATCTGTGGCTGCCCCTGAAGCAGATGTATCTGCTGCTGTGGTGGCTGTGGCTGTGGTGGTGGTGGGGGCGGTGGGGGCGGTGGTGGTGGTGGGGGTGGTGGTGGCGGCGGCAGCGGTGGTGGCTGCTGCTGCTCCAGATAGGCAAATGTATGGGGCAGAGGTTCCATAGGCCCCAGAGTGATAGTGCTATCTCCAAAGACATTTGGGGGAGCAGGAGGAACAAACTGCCAGAAACTCAACAGGGAGGATATGTCGAGAGCGGCAGGGATTGTTAGATTCACAGCATCTGCCACCAGCTCCCCGGGAAGGAGCTCTCCGTTAGCCAGCTCAAAACCAAGGTTGAACCTGTGAGGTGGCTGAGGTTCTTGCATAGGCAAGTCCTCAAAGAAAGTGATGTTGTAAAACCCCTTAGCATCTGCTTTGAAAGGCAGGCTAGGAAGTATAGGGTATGAGGTAGCACTGGTGGTGAACTTAGGAATCTGAAAGACTTCAGGAGGAGAGCTTGGTGCTACCATGGGGTGCAGAGAGACAATGGGCTCTGGCAGTGGTGGTGGCATAGGCTGGATGGCCTGTTCTGGAGGCCCAAGGGTGAGGCTGTGAACCTCAGGTGGCAAGCTACCTACAAGCCCATCCTGGGCAGGAACTCCTATCGGGAAAGGAGACATGGGAGCAGCCTTCACTTGGAATGAAGGCTCCATAGTGGGGAAGTTGCTCAGAAGGTCTCCCCCGGCCTGCATACTCTCTCTCATGAGCTCCTGCGAGTGTGTCTTCTTGGTATGACGGGTGAGGTGATCCTTGCGCCCAAATCTCTGGGCACAGAACTGGCACAGGAAGTCCTTGCATCCTGTGTGGACCACCAGGTGGCGTCGCACATCCTTCCGGGTGTAGAAGCATCTCTCACAATGGTCGCACTGGTGCTTCTTCTCCTTGGGTACAGGCGGGGGCTTTTCTTCTGCATGGGCTTTGAGGTGGTCAAGCAGTGCCTCGGTGCTCCCCAGCTCCAGAGCGCAGACCCCACAGGTGAGGTCCCCGCTGCTGGCTGAATGCAGGGCCATGTGCCTCTTGTAGCCCAGCATGGTGTGGTACTTCTTCCCACACTCTTCGCACACATAGGCCATCTTGTTGGGGTCGTGGGTCTGGAGGTGGTTCTTCAGGTGGTCTTTCCGGTTGAACGTCTTCTCACAATGAGTGCACTGGTGAGATTTCTGTGGCGAGTGAGTGGCCATATGCCTAGGAGCAGAAGGGAACATTACACAAGAATTACTTTATAAGAAAGGTCTAGAAACAATATTGTATCAAAATGGTAATAGATTTAATCTAGATTTTGGCATTTTTATTTGAATTAATTTTTCCTGTATTTTCCAAATACATAAAATTTCGTTGTAAAAAAAATCACGAACTATTAAAGATATAATGCAACTTTCACATCTATCAGGAATATTTTTTTAGGAACATATTTTCTTAATGTATTTGTTTAGAAATCTGTATGCAAGTATTTAAAAATATGTGRTCATGAAAAATAGTTTTTCAGGAGGGGGTTCAAGGGACACTTGACATTTTTTGTAAATTGAAATTTTCGAAAGTGACCCACTTTCCCAGTTTTAGATCATTGTTCCTAATACAATTCGTGCATGGTCTGTATCAACTGAGAGAAAAAAAGGAACCTTTTGAAATGTCTATCTTTGGCCTCAGAGAAAGTGTTAAGCTGAAGCCAGTTTTTAAGATCTCTGCCATCCTTGAATTTTAAAAAGATTCTTTTTAATAACTAAAAATCTAAGGTCTATGTGTTTGTATTTCTTATAAAATACAATCTTTCATTACAACTTGTAGGTCGCAGGTAGCACACAGGTTACTTTGTGTCCTTTATGACAGTTATCTTCTTTAGTGCACTGGTGAGTGCAGTAAAAGTGAGTGCACTTCTCTTTAGAGGCTTAATTTGTTTTACTAACAATTTAAATGCAAATTGAATCCTTCGAACTAGTGACTCTGGATACAGAAGAACTTCTAACAACGCATTCTACCAAGAAAAGATCTCTTGAAGACAGAATAAGTTAAAAGTGTACTTAATTATATCTTCTACCCAACAACCAACCCTGTCTTGCCCAGTCCTAGAGTTGGAACAGGAAAGTGTTCTACAACAGCAGTGCTTTGGCAGACAGTGATAGTGGTCCCACTATGAGGCAAACTGGAAGCCAGTTCAAAAATGATAAGGCTGGTCTGAATCAAAGCAAAACCTTCCTCTCTCACTTAAAAAAAAAAAAAAATAGCCTGCTATGTGCAGCAAGAAAAGCTGGTTCCSTCTCTTTCCTCCACAGCACACAGCTTAGCATGCCTAATGTGGCAGATACTGTAAGATGGGAACAACACTCAGAGACAAGAACCAATACAGTAGGCATTTGAGAGATCTGAAATATGCCAGTGTCTCCATGTTCTAGATGTATAAATTCATAGGCTGAAGAAAGGCTTTTAGAGCATGTCAGGGAGCAAACAGCCATGCTGTTCTACAAGATATATCACAGGAATTGATAATGAAGGGGGAGCTGGCTTATGAACAGGACCCCAGAGGTCTGGCTAGGTCTTCCAGTGTTGCTCTTCTCCCATTTCTTTGTGGAACATTTTAATTTGGTTTGATTTCACCTATCACTCATGAGCAGATCAGTACCAAGTTGATAAGGCTGGACCTGGCATTTCCTGCCTACTCTTGTAGGAATGGAGCACAGGTTGGCATTAGTACTTAAGCAATATTACCACCTTTCATCAGTTCCCATCCCTTAGAGATTGATGACCATCCTTTGCCTGGTGTCCAGTTCTTCCCTTTACTTCCTCATGCAACAGTCCCAATCTAGAACATTAACCAATGCAAATGACTTCCACAACTTGGTACCCACCTTCAACTTCTCTCCTTACCCCCAAACCTCTGAAATGACCAGTTTTAGGGTATCCTATAGTCAGCACCAAATGCTACCATCTTGGGTGTCAACTGGATCATGCCAATGCTCTTATAAGTCTTCATGGGTGATTGAGACTGCCCTGCCATCTTTTCTTGCTCTTTGCCAACYTCCACCCAACTGATTCCATTGTTTGCTATTGGGACCTATGTTCTCCTTTCTGGTTTAACAAGTCAGTTTGTTTGTGTTTTTTCCCTTCAATCTTATAAAATGAAACTTCTGTTGCAACTGTTGGGAAATAGGATGGAATGCTGCCCTATCATCTCTTTTTAAAGACAGACCTAAAGAAAGAATCATGCCATCTCACCACTTGGGTTTTTTATGAGAACGCTTGTAGGCCAGAGGCAGGAAATGTTGAGGCTGGGGGCAGTGGTTTTTGCATAAAGTATACAGCTTCTTTCTGCCAACTTTATGCCCTTAACTGAACATTTCCCTTGAACTACTGCCTCCTAAATATTGCTTAATATTTGAGTGTGGTTGACCACAGTAATCCCAACTAATTCTACTCATTCCAATAATCTGCAAGTTCCACTTTGTTTCCCAGGCATTTATCTCAGTCTTTACTCAAAGTTAGGGTACCTTGTGGGCCAGGCTGCAGCCCAGGCTGCCTTCAGTGTTTGGAATGGAGACGTTTGCTGTGCACACTAACAAGCTCSATGCAAACCAGGGAGCCACTGCGACAGAATCAGTGCACCCGCCATTCTGCTATTTCTTAGCACTAGTGGGTGGCCTGTGCACATCCAGATTAAATTATAYCTCTGAGGTATAAAATACCTAAGCTTTTACACACTTAGGTTATATCATCTGTAACAGCGGTATCAAGGGCCACCAGCAAAATTCATATCTACCTTCCCCCAGGGCACTCTGAGATTGAAATGATAATGTAGTCTGTGCCAATTCTCTAAACTCTGCACTTAGATGTAAGCAGTCATCTAAGTGCAAAGGTGAAGCTTTAAAGATCATTTCAAGAAGATTAGAGGTGAGTGGCACATCTCTCTTAACCATGCATCAAAAGAAGTGCCACATTCATAGAGTTCTGTGCACGTGGCTCTTGGGCACTGTAGACACCATGCCGACTACAGTCTTGTCCCTCAGACCAGTGTCTGACTGTACATTTTGTCTTGTCTATGATGGAATAAAACCTGTTTCTATTTAAAAAAAAATCCCTTGGAGGCAGAAGCTATATCTTTCATTTCCCTCATAGAAGTAAGCACCTAACAAACACTCAAAATCATCCAGATTAAATGTATTTTTAAAGAAGATGAATCTACAATAGTGGTTTTTTACCCTTTGGTATATCACAGAGGCCTGTGCACATCTGMTTCAATGTACATGCTTGGCATCTGTAGGACCAGTTGAACTTTACATGTTTGAGTGCTTTTTCCACCCAAGGTGACAAACCACTCCAAAAGTTCACACTCATGGGCCTTTCCTCTTCCTGTCACTCTTGGGACCTGGCAAGCCCTCCCATTTTGTATACAGACTCTYGTGACAGGTTTCCAATCAGCCTCTTCTCCACATTACTGTCAAAGTCATCTTTCTAATGCTCTAATTAATAAAAAGGAGCCCTTCCAGATAGTGGGTGAGACCTGGGGCACCTGTTTCCTTCTCACTGATGTGCTTGGTCTCACCCTCTCCTCCTCCAGGGTTACCCTCTGTGCATGGCACCTGAAGGCCAAGGATTAGAGCTTTTTTTTTTTTTTCTCCTCATGCTGTAGATCTCAGAGGAGGACTGTCCCTCCTGAGCAGCCTCCACCTGCACAGCTGTCAAAGCACCACTGCATTTAATAGTTCTGCATGCCTACCCCACCCCCTTCTCACCTTTCTGCTCTTAGGCCTGCTACCCTGTGGGTACAAGAAATGTCTGCTGAAGGAATTAACCAACATGGCAAAGCAAAAGGGATGCAGAAAAGCGCAGTAATCATTGGAGAGACAGCTTTGAAGACTCCCTAAAAGGCTAAAATATAGATTCAGATCCTGTATCCTGTTACTTTGAGTGGACTGAAGGCTCCAGAGCCACTTAAAGGCCCGGGTAAAAGCACATACCTTTCTAAAGCCTCTCACCTCATCAATTTATATCTGGAAACGAAGGCTTTGCCACAGTCGGTCTGCAAACACTTGAATGGGCGCTCCCTGGTGTGGGAATAACTGTGAACAGTGAACTTCTCCAGAGTGAGGAACGTTTTGCCACATATTTGGCAGGGGAATGCGGCCATGGGCTTTGCTTCTCACACCTTCCTTTTCAGATAGGCCAATCAAAYGGTGTGCCACTGAGGCACACAGGGAAGGAAGGTGCAGGGCAGAGACAGCAGCAGCAGCCACTAGTTCTGTCCTCTCCTTTCCCAAGTCCCACTTCACATGCAGCCTTGAGCCCAAGCGAGAAAGTCTGAGGCACAGAAGAGATCCAGGCACAGGAAGGGGGTCTGCATCATCTGACAGCCTGTGGAGATAAGAGGAATGGATTTCTCACATCAGCCACTTGAAAACCACACTTTCCCTCCCTAACACTTCAGAGCCGACTACCCATGGCCAGCACGTTCCTTCACATGGCTCTAGTGGGCACGATTCTCCACCTGCCCTGTGCTTTGAGAGGCCCTTCTGCATAGAGACCCACTCATCTGCTCCTCCCGAGTGGCAAGGCATCACTGGCCAGCTCTCAGAGGGCCGAGGAAGCACTCTGTGACAGACTCAGCATCATCTACTTGGAAAATTCTGGTCAGTGAGGCTCAGCAGACCAGCCAAAGAAAAAGAAAAAACCTCCCTGCCCTCATTGGAGTGCTCTACTGGTCCACACACAAAAATCACCCCTTATTCAAACCACTGGCTTTTTCTCTTCACCTGTTTTAGTATAACGCAAGTCGTTTATGACACCTGTCCAAACTTCCAGAGGAGGAGGAGAAGTCATTTGTATACATCTAAGTTAATTTGCTTGTGAGATAACTATGCACAAGGACTGAGGAAACAAACCGTGGGTTAAAGCTGACGCGGCGAGGGGAGATGGAACAGCCCCGTGCAAATAGAACTGATAGCTCGCAAGGACGTTCAGGCCAMATTTATAGGCACTGTCCTCTGGAAAAGTGTCCTTTCTGCCTCTTACCCTTTTGTTTATGGGGACATTTCCTTATTCCTCAGGTAGCTGGGGGTAGCCTACCTTTAGTTCAACCTATCTAAAACCCAGGTCATTAACACCCCTCTCACTCAGCCAGAATCACCAAACTCCAGACCCTTCTTTCTCTATCATTGGACCATCATTTGTGAAAATGTGTCTAAGGCAGATGACCCAAAGTCCTGTCCAACCCCTCATTCCCTTCCAGTTTTCCATCTCCTTCCTGAGGCCTCACCTTGAGGCATCCTCAATAACCCTGGCTACCAATTCCTTCCAGGAATTCCATCTCACTCATGGAGCCTGTGCTGCCAGGTCTTAGGATCCCATCCTACTTCACAGCCAGCCTAGGCCTGGCCATAATACTTGACCAGCTTTAAAACACTCCCTTCACTTGGGATTGCTCTTTTCTTCTTCTCAAGTCTGTTTTTAAAAGACTAAAACATACACTGATTATGAAGTTTGAAATATAACTTTCCTTCCTTCCCTTTACAGCTAAACTCAAAACAGCCCTCATCACTTCAGAGGAACTGGTTTGGTAGGGAAGATTTTGTATTTGTCTCACCTGCTTACAATTCCAGTCATATACACTTTTTTTTTTCTATTTATCTCAGTAAATTAATTCTCCCCAAGTTTTGTTTTATGAGATGACCAGTGTAGCCAACAGAACTTTGGTGATGACGAGAATGTTATATTATCATGGCTACTGAACATTCAAAATATGCTGCTGTGAAACAAGACTAGTGTCCCACACAGCAGCCACTAGCTGTGTCTGTCTGTTTAAATAATTTGGCCTTTGAAGATGGCAGGTATAATCAGAGAGCAACATGGCCATGCTTTGTCTAAGCTTGAGGCTCATTTCCTCCAGCCTCAAGTCCTCCAACTTTAACCTAAACTTTTCATACTTGTTTCATAAATGTCTTTCTCCTAAGACTTTATCTTGTTAAGTTTTAGGGTTGTGTTTAATATACACAACACCACAGAGTACAAGGCTGGTCCTCAAATGCTGACCTGAATGGAGTCCATGATAGTGAACATTCTCTAACTTCTTCAGGGAGTCTTTAGGAATGAACTCAACTTCATAAATAGTTATAACATTCCAGTTACCATAATTGTGTATTTCATAAATATGGACCTGAGAATACAAATATTTGCACTGTTTTCATGATATATTCACAAACTTCTATAAAAATTGTCTTTCCCCACAGACTATAAATTCTTTGTGGCTCAGGATCAAAGCTCAGCTATCTTAAAAAAAAAAAAAAAAAAAAAACCAAAAAACCAAAAACCATGTGGCTATATACTACATCTCTCATCGCCATGTTCTCAATTGGTGTTGGCTGTATACTAAAGATTCCAATCTTTGGATGAAACCCGATACTCTTTTTGGCCCTGTCCTTGAAACAGACTTAGGGTTACTTCGTATTGAATGGCAGACCACCAGCAACCTAACAGAGAAGTGACAGAGTGAAGGTCCTGATGAGAGTGGGTCTGTTCTGTCACTTGACGTACATACTGCACTTGAATCTTAAATACGGTACTATTTCAACACCTGTCACCATGGAAAGATAGTAAGTCTTCCCCCAAAACATCTCAGGACACAATTTTCAGTCCCCTTGATTCTAAAAATACTCAGTGAGTGATACAGATCTGCCAGGATGCCAAAGAAGGCTTGTACCATCTGCTTCGTTCTGCTCATGCTGATTATTTTGGGGATGAGAGAGGATCAGACTGGAATAAGAACATATATATATATGGCAACAGCCAGGAAAGACTGTGTTCCCTGGGGGCTGGAGGTAAACGGTGGTGAAGGGGGGGGGTCAACACAAGTGCAGTTCCAGGACTTCCCCACTTCTGCACAACACAATCGTCTAACGGGGACAACTGTTTCACAGCATTCTCAAAATAAACCATGACTTCTGGCTTCTATTTCCATTGTCCCCAGTGACACAATGCAAGGCCCATTTCTGAGAGGAAACTGAATTTCCATTTTTGGCCTTCCAAGATGGGTGCTTTTAAATCCTTGTTTCCATTCCATTCATTACTATGTCTACTAGATAAGAAGGTTCTCCTCCAAATGTCTGTCTCCCTCACACTCCCAAGACATGGGACTGTTTTCAAATATATACATTAAGGCTGATTTTAAAAGGGTCTCTGACAAGGTTGTTTTTTTTTTTTTTTCATTATATTCACAAACAATGAAGCAGCCAGTCATGGAATAAGAGAGGTAGAAATCCTTTGCTTAACTGGTCCTAGGAAGCTTTCAATCAGGGTACCCTTCTCAAAATCAGCACATGAGAAGCAAGTCTACCAAAAAATTAAAACCAAAACTATTCAGAATCATCAGCAAACAGAARGAGACCCAGAATCTCTAGGTAGTTGTGACTGCTTATTTTTTATTCTATTCTGAAATTTGCTGGGTGTTTTTCCTGAGCCAGTACAATGTCAGAAGAGCTTGGTTTGCATGTCTAATCAGCAAAACAGGTGCCCATGGCACTTAACTGCTTTGAAGATCACACTGGGGCCCTCACCAGTCCTTTCCAGGATGGCTATAACTGGATTACCAGCCTTGAATGAGACCAGGGTCTTAAGTGGGGCCCATGACAGCTCAGCAGGGCCCCTGGGAACTCTCTGGTGGTCTATACAGAATTGAAAACATGGCATACTGAGATTCTTATGGAGAGAAGAACGACAGCATTTTTAAATTTTTCTAAGCGGTCCTAGATTCAAACAGGTTAAAGGGCATTGACTCAATTGAGAAATAAGAGAAAATCCTTGGTGCTATCAATATTCTACTGGGCTCTTCCCAGTGTCATTAGWATCTCCTAATCCATGGGCCACAGATTTGGGGCTTGAATTCTTTCAGGTAAAAGTGGGAAGAAAAAAAAAAAGTTCTATATTGTTTTTCTGGAATTCAAGCAGTAAACAACTTGTACAAATTTCATTTCAAATATAGATCCTGTCCTGTAAGGCAGTCTACCTTATGACTAGAGGGCCAGCTGCCTTCAAATCACAGRGGTTTATCTGTCAACATCTTTAAAGGTCTTTATTAAAGGTCATATATCCTCAATAAAGTACTAAGATATTATCATTAAAATCCTGACACCTGAGCTGACATGTCACTGGGAAGACAGMGCTTGCCTAGGATGAACTCAGGCTGGACTCACAGGGCCTGTCAGCCTGCTATGTCTGCAGACCTTTCCCCAGTAATGGCCCAAAGGATATCAAGGCAACAAATCAGTCTCCCTGTTGTTTCCTCCAAGTGCCACACTCTCTTGTATTTCTCCTTCTAGAATGCCCACTATCCCTTGTCCATCTGCCAAACTCCTATTTTTCTGTCACTCCCAAACAGAAGAATGAGTTCTTCCACATGGTGGGGTCCACTCAGGAGTCTAGTGGACATCTCCACCTCCATCTGTCTGTCTGACACTGTTTTGCCCCAGTTTATGCTGGGTGGTGGAATGCCCTTACTGCCCTGTCCTGCTGCCCTGSTCTGAGGAGGGCCACCCTACAGCCTGCTGAGAAATCAGGTTTGCTGCCTATATTCTTTCAAACTGTCACCCTGAGGGACTTAATTTTGTTAAGCCAGTGACTAAGCTCCTATTTTCTTAGAAAGGAGGCTTAAAATAAGCAAAAAAGCGACACCAAAGTGTTTATCTAATATTCAGAGAGAAAACTGAGAAAGCTGTCGAGGAGACTCTATCACAACTTTAGAACACCAAGTCCATACCCTAACCAGACATTTTTAAGAGGACGGGTACCTTCTGTTCACAGTGTGAGTCATCTAAAGACGGTGGATTGAATGTAGGCACACAGCTCATTTTTCCTGAAACTCTACTAAAAGACCAGGGCAAATGGGAGCTCCTCAGGGATTCACTGGCGCTGCCTGACAAGCCCTGCTACTAGTCTACAAAGCTTCCAGCAGCTTTGCCATGGCTCTCTACTTATAAATCAGTAGGTGCCAAGGAAAAAGGAGAAAAGGAAAATGAACACAAAACCAGACTAACAGAACCAGGCAGCTCGGAGTGGGAAAGGCAGACCATGGAGGAGAGATTTGAATTAACACCTGCCATGATTCTGAGGTACCTGCATCTGGCAGGTGGCTGATTTTGAGGGTACCTGCTATTTTTCCATGTGACCTATTTCTAATGCTCGCTAGTGATTAACTCTGAAGCCACCTTTATAACTCAGCTAATATCACCCGGTGACTAACGGTAAAATCATTCCCAGATAAGATGGCTAAAAACGTATAGTTAAACCAAGAGCCAGGAAGGAGGAGAGGTTTCTTAAGTTAGTGTGACAATTTACTATCTTTACCACATGACAAAGTTGCCATCGCTGCTTCCATTGAATTATCTCACTGTTGTACTAGAATCTGCAGATTACGTGATTAGGCAATAAGCAAAACAGAAAGATGAAGTAAATCTTTCATTATCTGCAAATGAAAGGCTACATGAAAGACCACAGAGAATCCACACACAAGATTAATATTATTAAGTCTGACAAGGTGTTTGATTATAAAAATCAAAATTACAAAATCAATTGCCTTTCTAAATACCAGAAGACAGAATGTGATTTAAGGTATCAAGATGATATCAGGGGATGAGGATGGCAGAGATGGAAAGTAAGTCTGAGTCCCAGAGGGAAAATTACACACTGAGTGTAAGCCTCATGGGCAACTTGGGCAGGCATGGAGACCCACAGCATGGAGTGGCTGAGGTCCTCCCCTAAAGGTCAGTGCAAGGCACACCCTTGCCCTCTGGCTTTGGGGAGGTGAATGCCATTCTGCATGTGGCTTATTCAGGTAACTATAAATAACTGAGCCTTCCTTCCATGGGGGCCTCGGGTCCTGTCAGGAAGCTCACGTGAACCACCTTGATCACCAGTGTCTCTCCTCTCCAGGGTGGTTTGGTAAAGTGGGCTGGCCCTGGGGTGAGGAGGTCTTTGTTTTCTTTTGGACAGGCAGATCACAGCTAGACTGATCCTCCCTCAGGAGATCTACYGGGTACTGCAGAACAGGAGGCAGGCCTGTGGGGGCATGCAGCTCTCAGAGCTCCAAAGACAGAAGCAGCCCCTGCCTCTAAATTCCCCAGCTTCCTTTTGGGTGAGATAGCAGTGATACAAATAAACAAACGAAAATGGAATCTCGGTTTAAAAACTAGACATAAGATGTTCCTAAATTTAACTTATGTCCTGTGATTATACAAACAAGACTTTAACAGCTTAAAAACCCCTTTGGTGGCCTAATCCACTAGCAGAAGGCAGGCCTTTTACAGCGGGTCTTTCTTTGTTACACACTGTTCAAAAGATTGAAGAGATTAGCTAAGCTGAAAGTCAACCCTAGCCATGACTTGCTGGGGATACAGAGGTGGGGGAAGAAGMAGCAGTAGCAGGTAGAGAATGCCAATACTACTGTGTAAACCGGAATGGGAGGGAGCCCTGAGGAACCACAAGGAAGGCTCACGCCAGTGGATGTGAGCCTCAAAGAGCTATAGAAGACCAAGGAACCAAACCACAGAAGGAAAGGACTCCAGGGACCGGGGATCCATCAGCACAGAGTACTTCATCTCTCTCAGGCCCACKGCCACTGGCCGAATGCCCTTCCTTCTCCTGCAGAGTGGAGCAGGGGCCGGTAGCTCAGATTCCCAGACGGCGCCACAGGGCTGCTACCAATGGCTATTCAGGCTCACCCTCGCGGGGACAAAGGGAGGAAAGAGCTATCTTTGCAGACTCTTAAGTATTTCACATTCCTCCTCTCTCGCCACATTGAATTTAAAATAGAATATTCCGAAACAAATAGACGAATGTCTACAAGTGAGACATGTGCGTCCAGGAAGGCAAGTGTTAAGTCTAGGACTGGCTCTCAAGCCGAGACGCACTGTCCCGTTTTAAGACGTCTATTTATTAATGGAGACTCTAGGTAGTCTGGAGTGGGTGGGGGTAGACAGAGAGCCCCAAAATCCAGACAAAAGCCTTTGGTATTAGGAGCAGATTTTCTAATCATTAAAGTCAGAGATGGGGACTGTTCCTTTGTGACAACTGAAAATATATCCCCCTCCTCCCTCCCTATAAATCCTCGATGACTGGCCTTTAGACCCTTAGGATCTGCTTCTATAGCTGGCTGCCATGCTCTCTTTTCCTGGGACTCTAGAGTGTAGGGCATGGAGGAACCAGAACTCTAATTAGCAGTAGGCCTATTGTCCTAGCAAGGCCACCATCTGGGAAAAGAAAAGCCTGGTTCCTTCTCAGGAAGCATGTGGGTATATAGGTTTGTCCTAAGGAAAGAAGAAAAGCTAAGAAAAGCACAGCAGTCACAGAGACAAGGGGAAGTCAGATTTGTGAGTTCAAAATTGCTTAAAGGAAACTTTTAGTCTGTACTTTCTAGAAAGAATGCCCAGGTCTTGGTGCACGTTTTGATCCCAAGACAGCATTATCTCTAAATAAAACAGAAAAAGGGCACACAATGCAGACATGGGTCTGTCTGGGGGATGGGATGACAGATAATGGGTTTTATTTTTCCATTCTGAATGTCTTCACTTAATTTTGATGGCTATTTGAGCTGAGTCTAGGGGTGTAGCAGGGCAGTGAACCACAGGCAGGGGTGGGGGCGGGGGTGTAGAGAACATGGACATGAGCAGAGGCCATAGCCTGGAGTGGAGGCTAGTTCTGGCTGCGCTGTGGGCGTGTGGACCAGGAGTGGTGGGAGAGGGCTGGACAGGTAGGGTCTGGCCACAGCAAAGTGGGCTTCTCCAGGAAACTGGGAATCCACAAAGGCTAGGACAGCTCAGCTCAGCCACCAACTGCGCTAGAGAGGACAAGCATCACAGACCACCCGCCCCCTCCCGGGTGTGTAACTGAGTTATTTGGGCCAGGCACACGGGTCACTTAGAAATAAATCTGAAGTCTACAAATATTTATCCCCAGTCCTTTAAGATTATCTGTTTTAATTTTCTTTTCTTTTTAAACTGATAAACATTCCACGGGTTTCCGTTTGGACTGGAAGTTGCACTATAGAAACAAGGTCACTCTTCTAAGCTCCCACCCTGGCTTCTCTGAAAGGGGAAAGGAATGTTAGGGAGACAGGAAAGCAAGCCTCAAGAGAGGAGCACTCAAGACAGCCTCCCTCCTTTTCACCTTATGTTTTTTTCCTCCCCATTCACAGCTTTAGGTCCTTTGTTTGTTTAACAGACCATTACAATGGGAGGCAGTTCAATGGRGGAGGAATGTGAACTCTCTAAGTAGCTGTCCCTGCAATCCACATGTGTGGTCCCTCCCCGCCAGCCTGTCCAGGCGGCTGCTGTGTGCCTTCCGATGCTCCTGGCTGCCCAGAGGAGGCTGGGCACCTTRCTCACAATGAGTCCTAATTTCCCACAGGGCCATGCCTGCTGCTCCTTCCCAGTAGCCTACAGCAGGGTCTCAAGTAGTTCTTCCTTCCCTGCTTGCTTAGCCTCAGTTGGGGCCATCCTGCTCCCCGTTCCCTTCAGCTCCTGGGAAGACACTGCCTGCGTGTTGATCATCCCGTCTTCAGACACCTTGGGACATCACTGGCTAACACCCATCTAAGTCATACACACGGTAAACCAAAGAAACAATTTCCAGCACTTTGCCAGTCCTTAGTTCACTATGTTTCCACACAATTGTTGATAAACATGGCCAACTAGAAACAAATTTAAAACTTGCATACCTACTGGGTGACAGGATACATCAGCCACAACTCAGGCTCGGAGTTCTCTCAGAAGTCTGAAGATTCAAACCACGGAGTTCTCTCAGAAGCCTGAAGATTCAAACCTGTAAGAGACTTGCACATCTTCAGTGAATGAAGCTAGAAGAACACGCTCCCCATCACACTATAACCTGAGCTTCCATTTATGAGTGCACACACACACACACCCCACTGAGGTGGTCTACAGAATTCCTACTGCTTTTTCATGCATTTTGGTGGGTGATCTTATATTATATCCTCTGTCCTACTTGCAACTGGATTAGAACCATGCTCAAGTTTTTCCCCTGCTTTCTGCGAGTAAAACAAAGAATACTTGAAATTGCTTACATAAAATATTCAAAACAGCACTCAGAGGAAATGGTATTTCTTTTAAACCAACAGTATTAAAATACCATAAAACAGGTATGCAAATCCACGCAGTAACAGAACCTGAAACAAATTATGAATTGAAAGAAAGTCAGCAATATCCAGTTGACACTTTCAACAAAAGCTTCATATAGACTTATAGGTTTATCACATTTGCAGGGTACCTCCTAATGAAATAGTCCATGATTATTAAACCTGGCTGTGCATGAGAATCAGCAGGGAAGTCCTTTAGAAATACAGATTCCTAGGCCACAGGGCAAACTAGCACAGACTGAAATGGTAAAATGGGGCCCCAAGAACTTGTTTCTACCAGATTCTCAGAAGCCAAGTCTGCCACCTGCTTTGTACCACAACCCTGATGAGCATTTGGAAACCAGTCTCTCTGCTCCAATTAATTATAAAACCTGACTTCTTCCAACTAAGACTATTCCAACCAGTAGATCCTCTTAGGGGGAAAGCCGCTCGGGTTCTCTTAAATTGTACAAAAGTAAATTTATTATGAAACAAAGCCAATTAGCTCACCTAAGTGATTTATTCACTTGGATGCTTGCTTTAATTTTATTTTTTTTTAAAAGGGGCTATGACCATTTATTTTGCAAAAGAACAGTGTTTTAAGTTGAAAATGAAAAAAAAAAAAATATATATATATATATATATATATATATATATATATATATATATATATATGGCCTTGTCAAACAACTAACATTTAAAAATGACCCAGCAAAGTTCAGGATAAAACTGGAGGTGACCAGGTTACTTGAATCACCCGGGGAGTCTGTTTTGAAGTTATTCTTTGTTTTGCATGTACAAAAGCTTCACAAATCAACTGCATGGTTCACCTGTTGTCTCAAAATGCTCAACATCTACCATTGTGGTTTAATTAGGTGGTCCCTAAACATTTGTATCCTTTTTTTCAAGAGCTTTAAAACACTGAAGCAAAAGAAATCTTCTAGATGATTCTTTGCGTCTGCCCAGCTCACAAGTGGACAATACCAACTTATGTATTCAGAAAAGAGGCTGGACTCCCTTCKGCTTCCCAGGAAAGGGCTCGCTGAACGTGAGGTAAGCAAACCAGGCAGTAGAGTAGCTTAGCTTCATTGTCAAAATATTCAAATTATCACCAAAAGAAAGCAATTCCTTTCTGAACTCAACAATACTCCTTGGCCTCTGAGGGCTCGCACAGGAGTTTATTCTCAGGGCTGTTCAGGGGGGAAAAGCACTAGTGAAAGAGGAGAGCCCTAGCAGGGAGGAGATCAAGTCCTTCAGCCTCTCCCACCTGCCCTCTCAGCATGTCTGACGTGTACCTACTAACAATGCAACGGAGACCCTCAACAGGCCTGGCCTGGGGCACCATCCTGTGCAACGTAGGACAATTTAACACAGCAAAGACACAGTCAAGAAAAAAACACCTCGGTTGGACAGGATGCCACTTACGGACTCTTCAGTTAGGATTTGGATTTCAAAAGCAGAGAAAAATGTTTTCAAATGTCAACTTTTTTTTTAAGTGTGTAGTAAAAATGACGCTATAAGAATCAAATAATTCTAAAGGTCGATGGCTCCAGGGTAGCCAGAAATATCACAGTTTTCCTAGCAAAGAAATCTTCTCCTGGCAAATAGATTTGCTARTTGTTTTAAATGAATGATTTTTTTGTGTGTGGTGAAGGGAAGCCATTCATTAACAAAAACAAAAGTTTTATGACTCTAGAGTGTATGATTTCTAGAGTCCATTTTTGCCACACAATATGTTTTTTCTGGGCGCCTGCTTCAGAACAYGCTTCTCCTCAGTTAATGAACTAGCTTAGCTGCCTGCTGAGCACTCCCTGAAACCCCTGAAATGAACAAAAGGATTTCTTCCAGTTTCAGTTCATTCACATCTAGCTCTTCCTGGTTTTATTGCTTAAGTTAATTCTTCAAGCTGACTTTATTTCCAGTGATTTGAGAGGGAAAGAAACRGGCAACCCCTGACACTGGGAAGTCTTTCCTGGTTTTCAACAAGAGAGTCCTTTAGACTGYAGACGTGCCAGGTTTGTTTTTGAAGTCTCTCGGAAATGTCTTATTTTTGAAAGACTTTTACTGCAGAAGGAAAGGAGCCCATGGGATTTGGTAGATCATAGACAATGACATCTTACTGCGGCCAGATGGATCATGGTGAACAATGAGATTCTATCTTTGAACYGGAGACCCTAAGTGGGATATGCACATTCACCTCCAAACAATGACCACAGAGGGGCATGTTGTTAAAGGAACACATGGAATTTAAACAGATTTGTGGGCCTGGCACCTGGCCCCCTACCCTCTCACTTATGGACACTCCCTGGGAATTCTCATGCACAGCTCAAAGTTTTAACTACTTCTTGAGGTCAGAGGCCTCCCAAATTTCCATCTTCAATCCTCAGCTTTCTTTCAAATTCCAGACAAAGGCATCCACATTCCTCCTGAACCTCTCATTGTAGATACCTCCCTGTGCCCCGTGCCCCTCACTGTCACTAGATCAGAGCTTCACACTCCAGCCKTCTAGCTAGTTCCTCCCCCAGCACCACTGTGTATCTTAGCCATGATTAGTAGATGCTCACGAGATGGTGGCCATGTTTTAAGTGGGCAGTGTTAGCCTATTTCATTTTTTTAAATAAGAAACCTAAGGCCTAGAAGTTGTGCTAATTTGCCTGGTCCTGTGCTAATTTGAAAGTCAATCCCTTCACAGTAACTTCCCAGCCTCTACAAAGTCAGAAACTCTGGAGTCACACTAGATCTTTCTCCCTGATTAAGCTGCACAGGGTCTGCGAACTTGTTGTCTCTTGAATCTGTTTCCTCTTCTTACTTGCCATAGTGACCTACCCTTGGGCAGAGTTTTCTGCCTTTATTACGGCCTCCAAACAGCACGGCAATACAACTTGGGAATTTTACTTTTTGTCGATCTAAAAATTTCCCTTTCTCTCTTAAACAGGTGGCAGATTTGTCACCCCTTGTATTTGCTGAAGGCAGGGGCAGCCTCAAGAAGTCTTTGTTAATATCTAAATCCAGTGAGGAGATTCTGCAGGACTGCTGGGAGTGGAGGGCAGGGCGGATAAGAGGGTGAAAAAAGAGACACTGTCCCCTCCACTCCCCATCCCCCACCCTGGGCCTGGAAAGGAAAAGGATCTGTCAGCCCCCAGCAAGGGGGGGTGGGGGTCTTGCCCTGTTGTTTCCTAAGGCAGCGACAGAGTCCTTGAGGACAGCTGTGTGGGAGAGCACTCAAGCTCCAGGAGGTTCCCAGCCGCCACTCCTGGCACTGAGGAGGACAGCTGCAAGGCTTCAAGACASGGCTAATGTGATATATGGAAGGTCAGAGGCCAGTTCCTCACCTTCTAGGCGCCATGGGAATCCCTAGGTTCAAGGGCATAAACTATGTGAGAGGAGGCACCTGAAACTCACCCAAATGAAATCCTCCAGGTTGGCAGAATAGGGGAGGGAGTTCAGATGGAGATTGTTAATGGGGAAAAATCTCAAAGCCTTTCTGGGTTGAGATGCAGATTGGTGGGTGCCTCAACAGGGTGCTAAGAATCTTACTTAGAATCACGCCCACCCACGAGATTGACTAGCTACAACTGCTGGAACTGGAGCCCATCTAGTGTTTTTGTTTGTTTGAGAAAGGCCACAACTGCTTTGCAGAGAAGGAAGGGTTCTGGAGGTGCTGGTGATTGGGGGGGCGGGGGGGGGCAGTCCTGTGTTTGACAACCCTAGGTCTATAAAGAAAGGAAGGAAGGGCAGATGTTAGAAGATACTCACAAGAGTAACGCCTCTGATTCCTAGACAAATACCTAGAAAGGGAGAGGCAAAGTTATCTTTAAGGCCTTCATCTTATGCTCTGAACTGCTAAAAGCAAACAAATTGGGAAACACATACATACAGAGGATAAAAAAGTGAAGTCTATTTGGAAAAAGACCCAGAGCTAGGGGAGTCTTGAGACCCAGACATCCCTGTTTCCTAAGCCTGGACACCCTTCCCTGGCTAATATGCTGGGACAGGGAGCTGATTTCCATAAGATGGAAATGATGGCCTGCAGGAAACCAGGGTGTTCTGGGGGAGGGGAGGCTCTCTCCCTAAGAGAAAGGATATAAATCCTGTGACAAAATGTGATAATTCAAAGAGGCTACAGAAATGATAGGTCCTGGARGCGCCAATGATTCGGACAGGGGCAGTGACAAGACCCTGAGCTCAGTGGCATTTTCTAAGCAAATTCCACTTCAGTCTGTGGCTGAACATCTGAGACCGTCAGAAGAGGTTTATAAAGGCCCAATGAAGACCAAGAGTTTTAAATAAGACACTTTGGCCATAACGTAGAAAGAACTATTAGTATGGACTGCTCTGGCCAGAAGAATTTCGTGCAGGCAAGCTTAAGCAATTAGGGAGCCCCATTTTCCTGCCAAATGGGCACATCACTAATCCTGAAGGCCAGGCAGGGTATAGGGCACATCCAGAGGGAAGATGACCTGGAAGAGGAGGATTCCATGGGGAAAAAGTGCCCATCACAGAGGAGAGTTTGTCAAAATGGTCCCTTGAGTTTGAAGCACAAAGCCCCATGCATCTGCTTTAGTTCCAAGGACGGTGGGCATGTTGTATTAAAACATATCCCTAAAAAGATCACACAGATAGGGAACATGAAAGCTAAGGGTGTTGGGCAAGCAGGTAGAGGACTGGCAAACCAAAACAAGCCAAGACTGGGGGGGTGGGGGCGCTCTGGTTTCATAAGGGTCTAGCCTCTGCTGGCTCTTTTCCCTGTCACACCAGACTAGTAAGACTCAAAGGAGAGACAAAGATRGTTGGTGAGCGATGAGCACACACATTCCTATCCCAAACTCCTCCACCCAACGAGGACAGCTCTCTATAGAAGACTACTTTTCAAATCTGTGGTGCCCAAAAAGTGGGGAGATTGGAAAGGGGAGGGATACTGGAGAAAGGAGGACAGTCTACTCTGGAGGCCCAAACTTGTGTGTGACTTCCTTTAAATATAGCAGCCTGGTAAATAAGGAGCCTGGAGTCAGGTCAGTGGAAGGGGCCGTTTCGGCTTGCAGACTGAAGACTGACATCCATACTTGTTCCCCAGGCTGTTTTTGGACGGGCTCTCCTTCATTCTAATCACAAAGCTGCTGTCAGAGTGATTCTTCTAACATGCAAATATGTTCCTGTCACTTGCCTGTTTGGAATTCTTTAATGTTCCCATTAGTTTCTGTCAACTGCAACCCAGAGACCTGTCTAATCAGAACCATTGAAAGTTCTTTAAGCAGGACACCAGTAAGTTAAGGCCTATGTTATAGATGGAGACTTCAGACAGCACACACAGACTATTCTCCTGGATTTATCAGTTAAATACATTAAAATGGATACACTGTAATCCTCATGGCAAAACAAAACAACAACAACAAAAAACTACTAACAAAATTGTGAACWAAAAGAATAAAAAGCTGTAACTGAACTTAGGTTTCTCTATAAAACTGTTCTCAGAAAGTTTTAAATCCTCCCTAAGTCAGAACTCGCAAACTCATACACACGAGTTGATTGGATGAGGCAAATAAGAACCATTTTAGGGAAACAACGTAAAATGACTGTGATCCTAATGTGGTCTCAGTTTACATGGGGAGTGTTTGTTTTATGAACCTTTTTAATTTCTGCTGAAACAAAAAAGAAAAATATTACCTTGGTACATGCTACATAGTGGATCAATTTATTCTCCAAATGAAGTACTCTTTGTTTTAGCATAAACATGCATACTCGTTAGCACTAACTTGAAGATAGATGGAGAATGTGCTTTATTGGCTAATTTTTAATAATATTAAACATTCTTCTCTATTATGATCCCAACTGTTTTTCTCTTTACTTTTTATTTGTCTATTTGCTCATAGAGAAGGGAAGAAGTTTTAATATTCCTTAGATAATAACATTCCTTACCTAAAAAGTGATAAAATGATGCATTTTACTCTACTTCTTCCACTGTGTGGGAAGCGCATTCTACTAATACCAGGTTGTGCTTTTAGGATTAAAGGACTAACCACATTCCAGTATTCTAGATGCAACCTCAGAAGGACACTGTGGTACAAGGGGAAAAACTGAGTTTGAAATATCCTCTGCTACTTGGAAGGTGTGTGACCTCAGCCAAGTGGACTTCCTAAGCCCAAGTCTCCTTTGACATAAAATGGGGACATTGATCTATCTTGCAGAGCTGTTGCAAGAGTATGTTATATGTGTACACAGAGTGGCACAATGACAAGCACAGAGTCCAAAGTAGATGTACAAAGCAGATGTGGCCTGTGAATAAGTGTCAGAAGTGATTCTACACAGCAGGTGAGCTCACAATTACAAACAACTTATTTTGGACACAATGTACTTAACAGTAAGCAGAGCATAAATGATGGACTCAATCATCTTTCTTTAATGTGGATCACCACTCCATGGCCACACATGCTTGAAAAGAACTTTGTATTATTATCTCTGCATTTCTAGATTTTGTTAAATTTCTCCTTCAGAAGAATGTGTTGGTGGGGAAGTGGACCGGTTCGAATCATCTGGAGAGCAGGGTATGAATTTAAATGAGAACAAATAATACTGTCCTCAGCCTTCCACATGAGGTGCTTGTGGGCCTTTCTGGAAGTTAGCCTCAAGAACATACAATAAAGGGGGAAGTGGTTCATCTAGTGAGAGTTTTGCAGGGGAAATAGAATGGAAGATAGATTATAAGAAAACTTACATAGAAGACTGGGATTATAAAATATGGCCTCAGGGACATTTTGCAAAAAAAAAAAAAAACACATATGGAAAGAGGCCAAGAGTTATGGTTGAGCAATAGCACAAAAGCTGCAAAACAAGGGAAGGGAAGGGTGAAAGGGGCTTGAGGGGGAATGAGCTGGACGTAGAACTGATACATGTTATGGGGGAAAACCACAAAAATGTTGGATAGGACATTTAAAGCTAGAATTAGGGATCATTATCTTGAAATGAGCGATTAAAACAAGTCAATCTCCACATGAATGTGGAAAATAAGAAATAAAAACTTCTACTGTATAATGGGGACTCTGCCAACCATGAATTCCTTCAAATAAACACCTGAACTACCTACTTCACAACTTCAGTAAGTTTGGAGAGAAGATATGCAAACTAAGAATCAACCYACATTATGACTTTGGGAGGATGATTTAGAGACTTTGAATTATGTGTTACATATCTGGTATAGAATTCTAAATGAAGGATAACACCCTAATTTGTTCCTAGTGTTTGTACTGTACAAAAAAAAACAAAAAAAAAAAAAACAAAAAATACATGTATATGAGCACACGCACACACACACATACATAAGAGAGGAAGATCACAAAGTTTCTAATAAGCAAATCATGATACCTTACAAATCAACTGTACAATACCCATTATTTCTAACATATTGTGAGTAAATAGCAACGGTGTTTTTATCATGTTCTCTTGGTTTTTAAAGATAGGGTTTCATAAGTTCCTAATCTTATCACACAATCCATTTTCCCTCAAGTTCCTTGAATACAAATTCTTTGACAGGAAGTGTTTTCCAGAACATCATATCCCCCTCTGTACAAAGGTGGAAAGGCTCTGGTATGGGCTTTGAGGCAGGGAGAGAATGAGCACAGTCACAACTAGCCCCAGAAGAGTCGAGGATGCAGGCATCCCAGGGCTGAGAGAAGGCACACTTACCTTTCTATATGCCAGGAATGGATGAGTTTTAGACGTGACCTGAAGCAGAGGCCACGTCAGACCTAAGAGCAACCCTAAAGGAAAACATGAGCAAAATGTTAAAAGGAAGCATTAAGAGAACTATAATAGACCATGTAAGCAGAATAGGAGCTCCAGACTGCCAAGGTCAAAGCCTCTCCATTAAATGCCCTAGTACCATATGGCAATATTCCAGAGGCATGCCTTTAAGTCATAAGAAAGGGTTTTTCATGTGAGAGTGGTGATACAGYAAACAACGTGGTCAAGAGCATGGTTATGATGTCAGAAAGACAAGATCTAAATCCTGGTGTCACCTAGAACCACTAAGAAACCTCACGTAATTTGTTCAATCTCTCTACCTCGGCTTTCTCACCTGTGAAATGGAGATAATCAACCACCTACATCATAAGAACCTTTTGAGAATTCCATGAGTTAATTCAAGTACGGTGTTTATTTGCACTGTGTCTGGCAAGCAGGAAACACKCATGGGTATGCCATTATTTTTCAGAGACCTGAAGTGAAAATATGTCGTAGCCTCAAGCGGAAACGAGAGGATAATGAGAAACTTTTCAGAGTGCCAACTAAGAATGCCTGGAGAAGGACACAGGCCACCAAGAGGCAAAATATCAAAATCAAAAACAAAACACYCCAACACAGTGTAACTCCAATATTTTTTCAAATTCAAGACTAGTCCTATAGGGAAGAAGCCTGGAGGACTGCACTTGACCGTAAGATATCCAGCGATTCACTTCAGGAGGAGAGAGATGGGAGGACAACTGGAGGACAGGCAAGAGTGAAATTTTTAAAGACTGAAAAAGATATTTTCCTGTAAAAATAACAAAGACAGGAAATATATAAATAATAACTCAAACCCGTCAATCCTTACCTTGATATAAATTCATTACCAACCAGGAGTCCAATGCAATTGAAGTAACAACCTCGCAATGTCCTCTGGAAGGTCTACATTTATGCATGGCCCTAGAAGGCTGTTATTAGTTTTTGGTTTTTGAATAGAAAAACCTTACTAATCTGAATTTTATGAATGCTACAGGTATAATAATTTGAATGCGAGCCAAGTTATTTTTCTTTTATTTAGCTGAGGTCTTTCCTTGGTGAAAAATGGCACACTAAAAAAAGCCAATAAAGCAAAGCTGCAAAGTAAACATTTAAACCAAACACATACTGTTTTAATAGCCTCATTAGTACTGATGATTAATTGCAAAAATTAGATACTGAGTTATTACAGAAGGTTTTTATGGTAATAATATCCAGGCCATCCATATAGCTTACATATAATCTAATTTTAAATAATTTTATATTTCAGAATAGCATTTCTTTTAACCCAACCTAATGGGTAAGAAAGGTGTCTCATTGTCAATGACTACATCCTGTCCCCCCGCCCACCCAATACTGGGGGTTAAACCCAGGGGTGCTCTACCACTGAGCTACATTCCCAGTTCYTTTCACTTTTTGAGACAAGGTCTTGGTTAAGTCATTCAGGCTAGCTTCACACTTGCAATCCTCCTGCCTCATCCTCCTGAGTAGCTGGATYGCAGGCCACCATGGCCAGCTAYGTGAGCAAGTCAGTATGGACAGATGAGAAGCCATCTAAGAGGAAAGAATCTGGCATCTTTCTACTGGAAAATTTGTTTAAGTGGAATAATGCACATATAAGCATAGAGACCAATTATATGTTGATCTCCAAACCTATGTTGAGGGATTGACCCTTAAATTCCTTGAAATTATTTCTTGGATATTGGGGGATAGGGAGAAGGCTCTTTTGTGGAGATGCACAAAAGTTGAAGTTCAGTTGAAGTTCTGATTCTACAAACAGAGCAAGCACACAATTTTTAGTGGCAGTCGCTGCCTTGGTCTGGATGTAGCTCTACCGATGCAGATGAAGACACACCTCATGCTGAAAGCTAAATTATCAAATGGAAAAGTGTGGCTTCATTTCCTTCTCCTCCCTCTACTCTACTTTGGTATGATGTCACACAAAATTACTTCCAAAACTGGGAGAACTAAGCAGCCAGTTATAAAAGCTAAGTGCTATGCTTAATGCTTTCTTATCTACAACTAAGTGCTTAAGGAGGTGAGAGTCTACCCATGCTCACTGCCATGGTACTTTCCTATTTTGGAAGGAATCTCAGATCTCAGCAGTGAGACAACCTGCTCAATGGACCCTCTTCCTACAACCGCGTGAATCTGTTCCCCTACAGAGTTCCCATCACAGTGCACAGATCTGTACACCTCTATTTCAAATTTCATCTCTACCTTTAATCAAAATAAAAATCCAAATACATTTCTTTAAAAAGATAATCTTGGTGGTTAAAAAAAAAAATGACAAGGGGGCAAAGTTCTGGCCAGCCTGTGTGCTTACTCCCCCACCCCCCGACATCTTCTAAACATTTCCATTATGATTTTAAGATATTATTTTCCTAAAGAATGCTGAGAACTATTCCCCACTTAAGCTCAGGCTTAAAAAAGAAATTGTAACCTGAGAATAGCTCAGAAATCGGGTTTGTCCTAGGGTCCTGTGAAATCAGAGTAGTCAGCCTTTGCTTCCTTTGATAAGGAATTCATAGCACACAGTGGTAGTAAATCTGATTAAAGAAATTGCCAAAGGATGTTTTATTTTGCATTATTTAACATTATATCATAGAATTAAGCCATACAACATGGAAGCTTTATCCATCTCAATCACCAAATCACTAAATTTGGTCAAGTGAAAGTCTACAAAATTCTTCATTACAAGCTATTTCATCTTCTAAATGAATGTATCTAAGCATTACGTTGAGGTTTATTTTTAGAAAAGAATAATTGAGCAGAGAGCCTGGTTCTGAAAAGGATAATGCCATTCACTTTTAATGCCTTCTTCTAGAGGTTGATGGACTGCCCAACAAACTTGCCACACCAAAAAATTGTTTTAATAATTCTCCATAAAGGAAAGATTTTTTAAAAAGCAATAGTGCTGATCAAGTGACAAGAGACTAATCAGGTTTTCCTAAAATTTAGTATTCACAGTTGAAGCCTGGATAAGTAACTGTGTTCAAAGGAATGTTCAGGGAGCCGTCAATCGCCACACATCCAGCTACACTTACAGCCAAGAGCTTTGCTAGGCTCAGAGATATAAAAATGAATACAGCACAGCTGCTTTACTTCCAGCTAAAAGAATACATTTAAACAAAGAGCTACAGGGCAATGTGTTAAGTGCTATAACCGAGGTGTGCACAAAGGGCTGGGGCCAAAGGAAGAAGCCATAAATTCTTCCTGGGAAATCAAGCAAGTGAGGGATGGTGATTTTTCCTTGTGATGAATTCAAGACTTTTTCTTTACTAGTTTTGAAAAGGAAGGTGCTAATTTTAAGATTTATGATGTCGGGTGCTATCCTGGTCTATTTATCAATCTCATTTATGTTTGACACAGACTTTCAGTTACAATATCCCAAGAGTATAAATTTTGAAAAATAAATGCCACATAGCAATATTCCCATGAAATGCACACAATACGGAGTGGCATGAATCACAGCATGAGGGGAACTTAGATCCCAAGTTTGAAGATGTTTTGAAACATAAATGAAAGACTCATTTTAGAGGATTTGAATATAATATGAAGGCTTATTTAAAAATTTTTCTTCCTAAAGCAAAAATAAAAGCATCGCCTGATTATATCATGGTTCATATTTGTCTTTCTCTATGTCTGGGTTTAAAAAAAAGAAGGGGGGTGTTGAGTCAACTTCTACTTAACATCATTTATTATGCATACCATATTCCTACTTATAACATAGTTGTGACAAAACCTTCATTGTTCATTGCACACTAGCCCCAAACTTGAGTCATTCTAATGTAAGCATGAGAAACTCCCGTCTCCTTTGGGGTGAATTTCCAAATTCCTCTGTGTTAAATTGAGGTCTAATTTTCCCTGTGCCTGGTTTTCACAAGAAGGTCTATTCCACCCCATGTGCTCCTTTTCAGCTGTCAATAAACAGAGGCAGTGAATTCCCCAGGGCTTCACAAAGCTAGTTAGGCAGAGCCATTCATTCCTTCAGGAAAACAGGGCATTGATTTCAGTGAGTTCCCAGGGAGCAGCTGCAACAAAGAGATCAAAGGCCCACCTCTCTCTCCCTCCATTGCTTTCATTAGGCCCAGCCCAGACAAACAGCGACAGGTCTCCTTGAGACTCCAAGAGGGCCCAGCGGACCACCGCATGGTTCAATTCAAATTCATCCGTTTCCTACATTCCAGTGACAGTCCAGAATGCTAACCATGACAAACCAGCACAATCAACCGGCATAATATACTGTGCACTAGTTCATCCAAGGTCAGAGGGAGAAAACAAGCACTGAGGGAAGTCCTCTGCTTCTAGGGCCTGCTGAGCCTCAATGGCCCCCTGACATTCCATAAATAAACTTCTCCCTCTCACTCTCCCTTTTTTCCTCCACCCTGCAACCTCACAAGGGACAGTCTCAGTCTCGCTGAACAATCTGCAATGTTTTTCATGTCACAGGACCCAAAGGATCTGGAATCTTTATTCCTAGTCTAACTGTCACAGTAGTGTTACAGGAGGGCTGTGGGTGAAGCTCCTATCAGTTCACTACCTTGGTAAAGCTAATCTCTTATAACCAGCAGCTGACCGGGTATACCAGTAGCTTATTGCTGTGTGATGAACCCAAAGCTGTACTTTCTAGGTTTCTCTAAGGGGTGATCTGCAGTGAAGGCCCCTCAATTTAAGGTAAAGGTTAATTTGCATAAATGCTGTTTGCAAAACAAAATGGAACCAAGAAAGAACCGTGAGGGTTTTTTTTTTTTTTTCTCTTTTTTAAAAAAAAAATTTGATCCAGAGAATCACCTAAACCCGGTAACCTAAGCTCCTAAATGAGAGCCAGTGTATAAAGGGCTGTGTGTGTTTGTGGGAGTGAGGGAGGTCAGCAAGACGGAATCAGAAAGAAAACAAATTATCTCGACTGGTTACCTACACTGAACAAATATAATTAAAAGGTTCCTGAAGCTGCCCCTGAATTCCGAATGGCTTCTTTGACACTGCTTTCAGGAAAGCC